CTGAAAAAAACAGCTCTGTAAGGTAACTCGTAGACAATTCTCTATCTTAAAAGGCAACTGTCACAGTAAGCTCGGCTACATCAAAATCGTAGGGTTTGATTTCTTCAGATGCAGAATCTAGGCTGACCCTGCACCTGCTCCTCCCTTGGCTTCTCTGGGGCTGGGATCACAGGCTGACGCATCACACCTAGCTCAAAGTTTACTTCAATTTTAAGAGTAAACAGTGGAGAAATGGGAACTCACACTTACCCCAAATTTCTCACGTCTTAAAAAAAAATGGGTTTCAAAAAGTAAAAATACATATACTTTATATTTTAAGTATACTTTAAAATACAAAAGTATAGCTTAAAAAGTGTGTGTGTGTGTGTGTGTGTGTGTGTGTGTGTGTGTGTGTGTGTATCTTTTTTCCTTCAGATTTTGAATTAAGCTCTTTGCTTGACAAAACATTTTTTTTTTTTTGAGACAGGGTTTCTCTGTATAGCCTTGGCTATCCTGGATCTTGCTCTGTAGACCAGACTAACTTCAAACTCACAGAAATCCATCTGCTTCTGCCTCCCAAGTGCTGAGATAAAAGGCAAAAAGGCATGTGCCACCACCCACTGGTGACAAAGTATTTTTATAAACCCTTGGGCGTCAGTACAGTCTCCAATTCTGCACTCCAATGAGTAGAGAAACACACACACACACACACACACACACACACACACACACACACACACACACACACTGCAGTGGGTCATAAAATCCAGAAATGCAAAAACACTTCAATTTATTCTTAAAGCATGAATGACTTTCATGATGAAATATTACTTCTCTGAAACAAGGGAGCTGAAGGGCTCCTATACCTTTGGAAAATTAAAATGATTTCATTAGCAAGTTTACCAAGGACTTTTAATTGTGTATTTTAGCAAGAAATCCAAAGGCAATATCACTCTTGATAACAGCACACATTTCCCGTGTCACCGGAGTGGATATGTGAAATAATGTGGCTTCCATAAAGAATTTGTGGTCACGACACAACTATGATGTCTTGAAGTGTCTTGATTTTCAATTTTGCTCTCCTGGCTTAATGATCTTCTTATGCTCTTAGCAATTTCTTATCTCTGATATGAAAGGCTGCATATTTGCAACATCAATATTTTGGGGCTATATATTTCCTATACATTGGCCATAAGGACTACACTTCTTGAATAAAATTCTCATTCCATTCATATTTTTAAAACTGATATACTCATAATTTCTCTAACATTTATTTTTCATAGACACACCCAGCCATACTGGGTTTTTTACACCTAAGCATTCCATTTTTATTTTCTCTAAATAGTAAATTTCCTTAAGCTGCTACTCATGGATTTTTTTTTTGAGACAGGGTTTCTCTGTGTAGCTCTGGCTGTCCAAGAACTCACTCTGTAGACCACACTGGCCTCAAACTCACAGAGATCCTCCTGCCTCTGCCTCCCAGTGCTGGAATTAAAGGTGGGAGCCACCACTGCCGACTCAACTCATGGATTTTAAACACTAATGCTTTTCTAACTTTACTGATTCTTCTTGGCTCAAAGAACAGACAAGATGGAAAGTTATTATGTTCCTCAACAGAGAAAGTCTTCCCTTGTATTAAAAAAATTAAAATGAACACAACTTACCTTATTGTTGAAGGGACAATTGTACAATGTAGTTTCACTGTGGGCATTATTACCTATAAATACAGACTTTTACTATATCTTCAATTAATAACATATATAATAATTCAATTATTCATTAATTAAAGTGTTATGAAGCATAAAATATGAGTAAATAGGAAAATTATTAAGTGGAGAACAAGGGCATATTATAAGTATACTCGGTGAACTGAATGTTATATTCATACAGACTGACTTGAGTAGTATATTGAGGAGTCAGTTATGTTCAGATAAAAATTTTCAAACCCTAGAATTAACAACCTCTATTTCACTAAACCCTTTTATTTTTCTTTCAGCACTTGCCAGAACTGGTCAGTTGCAAAGCACAGTTTTCTAGGCTCGCCACTGGTAGCTTCTGATCCTCCTCTAATATTACCATGAGACCCCAATTTCCAGCCCAGCCACACAGGGTAGTCATACTGCTTCTCCCTCTCACAGTTACTAGTTTAGACTGGTTGTTGAATAGGTCTCTATTTGGCTTCAAACTCTTCTTTTCCCTCCCAATATCTGTCCTGTATTCCTCTTCTTATCACATTCATATGAATCACTTGAGTGTTGCACAAATTTAATTTCCTCTATCAATAACATGTATATCAGCAATCAGATGCCAGTTCCATAAGTCATTATCATCCTTCATAACAAATTCCCATGTACATTTCTCATTTACACTTTACATGTGAGAAAATTGAGATTGATTCATTCATGAGAAGATGTGAAAGAGTTCATGCCATGAGAAGAACACACAGAGATGAGGTGGTAAGGGATTGATGCTGTCCAACACAGCTAACCAGTGGACCTCCAATATTAGTACAATAGGAGGAAAAGAAAGACTGTAATCTAACCAACCAAAAGAACAGGAAAAAGCAAGCCCCTCTCAACAATAACTTTAAATGAAAAATGATCACAACTTTCTAACACATCACTAGCTAACTGACTGGATTTAAAAACAAGATCCATTTATCTCTTGTCTCCAAAAGTGTACTTAGCTAGCAAAGGCATCCAAAAACTGAGTGTGAAAGAATGAAAATCAACCTACCAATCAAATGGAAGTCATAATATGCAAGCATAGCAATTATTATGCTTGCTAAAGAAGACAGCTGAGCAAAACTAGTCAGGAGACATAGAGAGGGACCTTCCATATTAACTAAAGAACATTCACTAAGTAAATACAGCAACTCTAAATATGTACACGCTGCATATTGGAATGTTATACAACACTAAGAGACATAAAAGATCACATATTTACCAGCACAATACTAGCAACATTACTCCATTCTAATATTTATATAGATCTTTATATTGGTTGCATCATATGGCACAAAGTAATCCCTATTAAATTAAAAAAAAAAACCATATTGGGGCAATTCCTTGTATTTATCAGACCACAGTGAAAAAATATAAACAAATAGCAAGAGAAACCTCAGAAATGACACAAACACCCAGAGGCTAAATAATATACTTTTGAATGAGTAGTGGGGCATTAAAGAGGTCAAGGGGGAAATTTTCTTTAAAGCCCAGAAATAACAAAACAACCCCAATAGTACACCTTACCTGATCCTATGGATTCAGCTAAGGCAGCCCTAATGAAAGGTTATAGCTATGAGCACTAGCAGTAAAAAAAAAAAAAAAAAAAAGAGAAATCTCAAATAACCTAATGGTGTACCAGAAGACTCTTGAAGAACACGCAACAACCTAAACCCAATAGATGGCAAGAATAAAGATTAGAGCAAGGGTTAACAAAATAGGAACTAAAGGGATAATGCACAGAATAAAAAAAGAGTTGGTTCTGTGAAAAGACGAACAAGATTGACAAAAATCTCCACAAAGAAAAGCCCAGGACTAAAAAGATTCACTGATGAGTTCAGCCCAACTTTTCAGGAGGATTTAACACCAATATTTCTCAAAATGTTCTAAGAAATATAAAGAGAAGGCAAAGCCTCATATTTATTCTATGAAGCCATTATTACCCTAATGTCAGAACGGGACACAACATGATAAAAAGAGAATGCCAGACTATCCTTGATGAATATATATGGAAAACTCTTCACAAAATTGAACATGTTAAGAAGATCAAACACCATGACCAAGAAGGCTGCACTTTCAGTCTGGTTGCTCATATGCAAATCACTAATTATAATACATAGTGTAATTAAAATTGAGGACAGAAGTCACGTGATCATTTCAATAGATGCAGAAAAGGCATTTTACATAGTTCACATGATATCAATCCTGGAGAAATTAGAAATAAAAAGAATATTTCAAATTAAAGACCATACATAATAAATCTATAGTCAATATTATACTAAATATCAACAATCTGAAAGAATTTTTTTCTAAAACCTTGGGGATGACAAAGGTAATCACTCCACTGTTTTTCAATATAGTACTCAAAGTGATGGACCTAGATGGTCCCCACTATTTTTCAATATAGTACTCAAAGTGCTTCACCTAGACAAGGTGAAGACATAAGAGATTAAAAATAGAAAAAGTAAAATTATTCCTTTTCATCACATGATTCTGTAATTAAAAGACCCTACAAACTCTACCAGAATACTCTGAGATCTAATAAACACATGGCACAATGTTGCAGGATTTAAAACCAACAGGCAGAAACCATCATTTTTCATATATATCAATAACAAACTTTCTAAAAGAAATTTGGCAAAAACACTTCACTCACAACATTTCAATAAAACGAAACAAAACAAACAAAACCATAAGTAGTAATAAACAGAATGAAGGAAGTGAAAGGTTCTATAATGAAAAATGTCCCCCCAGGGACCCAAGGGAAAACAGTGTGGGCTATCTTTCATATGTTGACCCTGGCTCTGAATGTTTCTATGTATACATACGGATATATGCTGTGAAATGAGAAAAGGGACCATGACAGCAGAAAAAGCGGTCCTGAGAAGGGGAGAGAGAAATCTAACAAAAGTGCTGCTATGAAAATGGAGAGGAAGCTACTGAGGGGGCGGTACAGAAGGGGGCGGTAGGGTCAGGCAGAAGAGCGAGGAGGAAGATCAGCAAAGACAATGCCATGATGGTATCTCACACTTTACATGCTAATTAAAGAATAAAAATAGACGAAGACCCAGAGCTTCTATTAGGTGCCAAAGGACACAATTAGTCAAATCCCAAAGTCCCTTTTCTCTATTATGATGGGACACCCCTTGTTGCTCTAGAGGCACCACACTTTTTTTTTAAAATTTATTTTATTTTTTTATTTTTTTTACTTTCATTTATTTTACTTTTAGTAATAAATTTTTTCTATCTCATACATGATTGGACACATATTTTGCTTTTAAAATTAACAGTCACAAAGAAAGGAACAATGGTTTATTTTTGTAATCAAGGTGACCACGCAGCTGAATCTTAAGGCCTCAACAATGTTGCCTCTTATGACTCTCACCACCGGACGGCCTTTTGTTCCGCTTCTTTCTGGTGAAGGGTGATTTGTTTGTCCAGGGGTTCCCATTGGTCAGGCAGTTAGACAGCTGGCTTCCCTCCACTCCTCTGGGCTGCTGCAGGGTTCTTCCCGGTGAACCTGCATGGCCAGCGCAGCAGCTGCGGCAATCCCAGGGCAAGTCTGTGTCTCCGCGCTTCTACCGGGGCTGGCCCAGGAGTCCTGCCTTGGCCGCCAGGGCTTCATTCTCTTCAGGCTTCACCTCTCTTGTTGTGAAGTCTTTAACACAGTCCAAAAAGCAGGTCTCTGTAAGTTTATTGTAGGTTCCCAGGAACTCCTTAAACTGTTTTATCTGGTCGGATTCTGGTATCTGTGCAGCCATATTCTTTCAATGTGTTTATTAATCACCTTTTCTGATGCATGAGTTTCCTTTCTGCTCTGGAAAAGCAATTGCCCCGCCTTTTGCTTGAATGTCTTCAGGGAGGCTGGATTTCTTACTTAGCCACGGGCTCTGACATCCGACGCCGGCCCTGGGGCCGAGGGGCTGCGGTGTGTGGAGAGTCCGAGATCGGAGGGGTCGGTAGAAGGAGGGCGCCGCGCCGCGGGAGAGCCCGAGGCACCACACTTTTATATTTGATGTCAGATGGTTTTGTACATAAACATGCAATCTATGCAAAGTTGTACACCAATATAAAACTACTAGGTTTACATCAATTATAAACATTTCATGTGTAATACTTTAACACTTACCAATTGGGTGGTGCACAATGGTGAGTTTATCTACAAGACAAAAACCACATTCTGTGAAGTTTAATATTTATCCCAAGAGGTGACTGAAATTTATACCATAAACTGAAAATACTAATGCTCCCTTTGAATAATGTGTGACTCCAAGTCTCACTACTTCTGTCTTTTCTGACTAGCCCTGAGGTGTTATGGTCTGAAGCTTGCTTTACAACTGTTGGAACCCTGCTTCTCTGCATTGATATTCCTTTAGTCTGAAACACTTCATTCATTTTAGAAATTGGAGTTTTTCAGAAATTATTGTATATTATAAGGTTTAAGCATTTCTAAGTGTACAAGCTCATGATTTTTAAAACAAATCGATTAGCTGTATGCCTACCAGTCCAATAGGTTTCCTTGCCACAGAATACATACTCAGAACCTCTCGTTAATCCCCATCGGAATGGTATTCCTCACAGCCTCAGCTGATCTACTATACACCGCTATAGGTTAGTGTTGATTGTATTATTGTGGTAGTTTGAATGAAAATGGCACCCATAGACTCACAGGGAGTGGCATTATTGGGGGGGGGGGTGGCCTTGTTGGAGAAAGTGTGTTATGCTTTTAGGTTTCAGAAGCTCAAGCCAGGCCCTAGTGGCTCACTCTCTCTTCCTTCAGCCTGCTGATCCAGATGTAGAACTCTTAGCTGCCTCTCCAGCACCATGTCAGCCTGCATGCCACCATGCTTTCTGCCATGACAATGAAGGCCTAAACCTCTGAACTAGAAGCTAATCCCAGTTAAATGTTTTTTTTTTACAGGATTTGCGGTGGTCATGGTGTCTGTTCATAGCAATAGAAACCTTAAGACACTAGCTAAATTGAATCTTACAGCATGTTCTGCTTTGTACCTGGTATCTTTCACTCAGCACCCCAGCTGGAATTCATTGTGCATAATAGAAGCACTCATTTTTACTGCTTAGGTAGTATCACAGCATAAATACAGGCTGTCTTAGTTAGGGGTTCTATTGCTGTGGTGAAACTTCATGACCAAAAAGCAAGTTGGGGAGAAGAGGGGTTATTTGGTTTATACTTCCACGTGGTACTCCATCACTGAAGGAAGTCAGAACAGGAACTCAAACATGGCAGGATTCTAGAGGTAGGAGCTGATGCAGAAGCCATGGAGGAATACTGCTTATTGGCTTGCATTCCATGGCTTGCTCAGCCTGCTGTCTTATAGAACTCAGGACCACCCGCCAAGGGATGGAACCACCCAAAATGGGCTCAGCCCTCCCCTATCAATCACTAATTTAAAAAATGCATTGCAGCAGATCTTATGGAGGCATTTTTTCAGATACCTCTAGTTTGTGTGTCAAGTTGACATAAGACTAACCACCACACAGACACAATGTAATTACATATGTTGCTGCTTAACATTCTGATTGTTTCCAGTTATAATGAATCAAACTTCCATAGGCTTTATAAATAGGTATTTTGGTAGATATAAGGTTTCATTTATATCAGAAAAATATCCTGGGTTGGAATCATCAGACCACACATTAAGCATGTATCTGATCTTCTCAAAGTCATTCCACACTTTAACCTTCCCTCAGCAATCATGTACATCCAGTTCCATATCCTATACTTAGGTTGGTCTGGCAGCCTTTTAAAGTCACATTCATAACAGTTGTTGATTGGCATCTCATTGAAGCTTACTTTGTCTTTCCTGAATAGTCAATCATGGCCTTCTACAGGGTGCCCAGCATCCCTCCCCTTAGTCTGAGGCCTTTTAAATCATCATGTGTAACATAGCAGAGAACATCTACTAGTGTGTAATCCTTGGCCAGAAACCAACTTACAGTGTCCTCATCAGCTCCATTTCCTCTCAGCCAGCCAGTAAGTTCAGAATCTTCAGTGACTGTGCCAGGACAGTTCAGGTGGCATATGGGAAACTCGGGTATGCCTATTGGTTGGGACTTAAGATTCAGGTGTTTAATTTCTTGGTCTTTTTCTTCAATAGCTTGATGGCGTGTTAGGGAATATTATTTTAAGGTTTGTTACTTTTGTTTAACTCTGTGAAGCTGTGTTACTTGGCCTGTCGAAAACACCTGATGGTCTAATAAAGAACTTAATGGCAAACAGCGAGGCAGAAGAAAGGATAGGCAGGGCTGGCAGGTAGAGAGATAGAAGGAGAAATCTGGGAGAAGAAGAAGTAGCCAGAGAAGGAGGACTTCAGGGGCCAGCCACAGGGTTATACAGTAAGCTACAGAGTAAGAATAAGATACACAGAAGTAAGAGAATGGTAGATGCAAAAGGTAGACAGGGTAATGTAAATGAAGGAAAGCTTGCAGGCAACACAAGCCTCCGTGTGTCATTTATTTGGGAGCTGGGTGGCAGGCAAAGAATAAAACAACAAGGGAATGTTTGTAACTCTTTCTTTCTGAACTAACTCTTCAAAGTAATACTTTAGTTTCTATTTTTATCCTTCCAAGCTGCCCATTCAGAGACTGTGAGCACTCTGGGAATTGTGGGATACAGTGTAGCTGAGTGTGTTCACTTCTAAGGTAGGCACAGCATCCTCAATGATGGCCTGAGATCGTCTGACAGTTGATTTGAAGGTGATTCCTCGTGTTCATCCTTGACATCCAAGACTTCTGAGTCAGCTGTGACACTCTTGAATGCAAGGCTAAAATGTAGACTCAATTCTGGAACCAGAATGGTAATAGCTGTTTACATAGCCTTTTGGATGATACTATCCAAGGCAAACATCCAATGTGGCTTGATGTTATCATTCTGAAGATCTTTATTGACTGCATCCTGGAAACCAAAGAGGACCACTTGCACCTGGCTGATGCCAGAGCTGTCAAAGTCCATCCCTAGCTTCAGCTTTGACAGTGTAGTGGCTATGATTTTTTTGGTCAGTGGACTTCACAAACTCTTTGAGGCTCTTTTGAGGGTTGTGATGTGTTCCTATTTTAGGTTAGGCTCTTCAGCACCAGTTTCAGAGGTTCAGTCCACTATCATCGTGCTGGGGAGCATGGCCTACCATTGTTTTGGTTTACTACAAACTTCAGAATGCACTGTTTTTCCTATTTATATTCTTTTCTGACAATCCTATGTAACTCCACAGTTAATTCTGTTTATATTTTCTCTTCTTCTAGTTCCCTACTCAATTCTTATTCATTAAATATAAAAGATACTAACAATTTCTTAAAAGTCATATAGAAATAAGTATAGTCTTCTCACTTTTATGTCATAAATTTCCCTTTAATTTAATGGTTAATGGCATTTTGCCTCATACTACAAGTTTTGGTATTCTGGCCACAATAACTTTTGCTTCAAAATAATTTTCTATGATTCTTTTTTGATACAAGGATTAAAACATTATATTTGGTTCCTAAATACTTTGGAAGGAATGAATCTAAAACTGTTGGGGAGCATTCTTTTAACCTTTTGATCTTCCAGAATATATTGAAGCTTTTGATGACACACCAGTTCTCCATCTTAATCGCATCCAAGCACACGTTACTCAGATATGTGAGCTCAGTGTTTCTACACCTTAATCAGTAAGTGTCAAATTGGTTGAACTGGTTGTGATTCAGGTCTCTATATCTCTGTTGACTTCTGTCATATGTTCAGTTAACTACTGAGAAAAATGTGAGGACTTTTCTGAGTATTGCCAATTTTTGCTTCATTGGCTGTGATAAAACTTATAACCATACATATAACATAAAAGACAGAAATATCTAGGCTATTATATTACCCTGCTAAACGTTATTCCTTTTTATTGTATTCTTTTATCTCTGGCCATGGGTGTTATCTTCAGATCATCTTGTCATGTGTCAACATGGCCGTGTCGGCCTTCTTGTGCTATGTCTGGGCATGGTGGTAGACCTTCATTTGCTAGCCATCTTCCCTTTATTTAAAATATATGTCCTGTAGACTGCCTACATTTAGGGATTCTTTTTGTGAAGCATAAAAACATATTATTTTAAAATAAAGTGCTTAATCAATTTACATTGAACTCATTATTGATATTACTCAACTTACTACCACTATTTTGTTTTCTTGCAGTTTTGCTTATCTATTTTGTGTATGTACCAATTTTGCAATTCTCATGATTTATTCTTCAGAATTAAATACTTTTTAATACTCTAATTAATTTCCTCTATCGACTTCCTAAATTTACTTTTTTGTTATTTCATGTGTGTGTTTGCCTGCATGTGGAATAAATGCATGCAGTTCTCCTATGGCCTGAAGAGGGAGACAGAGGGTTGTGAGCCGCCAGGTGGGTGTTGGGAAGTTGGGTGGGTGGCTTGCAGGTCCTCTGCAGGAGCAGCACATGCTCCTTATTCTTGAGCCATCTCTCTAGTCCCTTATCTTTATTTTTAAGTTATTAAAATATGTAAGTTCAATTTCTCAAACTAATTTGAGACAATAGAGGCTTCCTTCTTGTTTCTGCCTTACACTTCTCTTCATATTTCCTATTTTACTCCCTTCCTCTTGTGTTTTAATCGAGTCTTCACATTTTACATGTTGCACTTTATCATGTATAAAATTTCACCCAATTCCAGTTAGCTGCAGCCTCTGTTCTATATGGTATTATTTAAATATTTTTCTCCTTCACATGTTCTACCCTATAACTTATGTGTAAATTTTGTTTTAAATAGTTGTTATTACAACAATTTACCAAAGCACAGAAAACATACAGTCTATAGATACCTCATTTATATGATTTGAAGTGTTTTTATCTCCTCAATGTGGATCTGAATTTCTTCTACCTATATTGAATTCTTTAATGTTTATTGCCTTGCAATTTTTCTACAAATCCTCTGGTTGCATTTATCTAAAAGCACCAATATTTCAGCAAAAATTTCAAGGCTATTTTCTCTGGAAGTGCTCTTTTCTTTTAATTGCAGCTCTTTGATGATATTACTAGACAGTCTTTAGCTCTCCATTGATTCTGACAAGATAGAGTGAATATCCTTAAG